GGTGGCACTGGTCACTGCATCCACTGTTAGCGTAACACACCCGCTTTAAGGACACTGACTGCTATTCAATCTATAACAGTAAAAAAAGTTTTTTGTTTTTAAATCCAAGCTATTGTGACACCAGATGTAATTGGTGGCACTGACTGGGGAAATGGGCACAATATGCACTGTGAGCCTGACACAGAAGCTGGCAGCAGTGGCAGACAACTGACTGCTATTCAATCTATAACAGTGAAAAAAGTTTTTTGTTTTTAAATCCAAGCTATTGTGACACCAGATGTAATTGGTGGCACTGACTGGGGAAATGGGCACTGTGAGCCTGACACAGAAGCTGGCAGCAGTGGCAGACAACTAAGTGCATTTACATTAGATAGAAAAAAAAAATCCAAAAAAAGCATACCCTTATCCCTAACCTAGCTATGCTTTTCCCTATCTTATGAACAGCAGCTACACTTTCCCTCCTCTTACTAAGCATGCAGCTTGAGAATGAATCTAAAATGGATGCTGTCCAGTAGGTGGGAGGGTCTGCTAGGGAGGCTGTGCTGCTAATTGGCTGGAATGTGTCTGCTGACTGTGAGGTACAGGGTCAAAGTTTACTCAATGATGACGAATAGGGGGCGGGTCGAACCGCGCATATGTTCGCCCGCCGTGGCGAACGCGAACATGCTATGTTCGCCAGGAACCGTTCGCTGGCGAACCGTTCGGTACATCACTATTTATCTATTTATCTGCTATTTTTTGATAAGTAGAATTGTTTGTCTGTAAGATATCATCAAGCTACTGATTTAATTTTAGGCTAGATATGATTCCAGAATTTATGTAATCTGAATCCGCTATTATACGGGTATATTTGTTTTTAGGAAGAAAAAAAATGAGCCCATTTATAGTTACGAAGCAGTAGTAAGATTCGTTCCTAGTTCCTGGAGATGTATTTATCCGCTGGATGTTTGTGAGTTAAGTGTTTAGAGATGGGAAAATTAAGAATGAAAGTGTGGAAAGCAGCAAAGTATTTCTTTGGATTTAAAAAAATTAGACGAATGAATAGCTGGAGAGAAGTTGTTTAGGGAGTGTCCGTTGGAGAAAGTGTATAGGATCCTCAGAGGAACGTATTAAGCATTCTCTCTCTGGCTCTTTGTTGCCTATTTTAAGCACCCTTTATCTCTTGATATTCACACACATTTTTGAAGTAACCAATGAAATTATGGGATGTGTTTTATGATAATGACTTTGCGACAGCACTATCATGAGATTACACTTTGATAAAACACTAAAGTAAAGAGATTTTAGGGAACAAATTTGCATCATAGAGTGGTCATTTGTATGGCTATTTAAATCACTGATCTGTCAAAAAAAATATTTTCAAGTTCTAACCAGATAAATAGGTACATATGTGCCCATTACTCTTGTTTTGTAAACACCCAAAGTGTATGAATAGCATCCTAAAAAAGTGTACAGACATTTCATGATTCTAAGTACGTACTATAAAAATGACATCGTATGAGATGTATACATATTTAATGTTATCTCACCTGCATCTGGGTTTTTGTTACACTATGTATATATTGGTAAAACATGGAACTCTGTGGTTTGTACCATGCAGTGAACGGCTGTAAGAGATCTGAATGACACATTCCAAGTTTTACTTCCTGGCACTATTGATACAATGAACACAAGGCCGTATCTCTCTTCTAAATTAATAGACTTAAGAAAAACCATGTGTCTATATTGTTCACACTCTGCCAGCAAGCTGGAGTCACAATTGCTAAGCTGTTAATTGCAATATAGAATTAATTTCAACCACAAAGTGTCTGTCAGAATGCACCATAACTGTCATTAGTGAACTTCTTCAATCAAAACTATATAAACACATCTTTATGTCTTATACATGTCTTTTATGATACTCCTGCTTTACTTATACTTGTTTTTTGTCAATCTTTGTTTATTAGTATGATTTTTCAAAAGTAGTAGGCGATACAGAAATAAGAAAAAGAATAGCATTTAAACAACAAATTAAGGTACATAAATTCAAGTGAATACATCCTTCAGGATGCAACCCCCGTCTAAGCATACACATTGGGAGTTAGGTGGATGGGTACTTTTGTGCGTTGGGGAATGGAGCTTGTTTTGTCGTGACCCCTAGTTATCTAATTCACTGAAATTCACTGTGCCTCCTTTGGAAGGTATGGGAAGTATAGAGGTGTTACAATCCCATATTTCAGCCTCTGTTCACCTGTCCTACATACCAGGTATCCCCGTGACTTTTCCTCATGTTTGTGTGTAGCGTGTTTCAGGAGTCCCGGTGTAGTGCGGGTCATGTGGGTAATCCGTCTTTTTGCATAGAGGCTTGTTTGTCCTCTCTACCTATTGTCTGTCATATATCATATACCCATGGGGTGGGGGGGGGACTGTCTAACCTGCTTGTGAGCTTTACTTAGATTTGAGCAATTTATAGATACACATGTTTACTTGTATGCCTTTATCTGCTGTTTTTGATTAGCTTATTGATCTCCTCTGTTTACTTTGCTCTGGCTATTGTCAACCAATCTTAACATTTCACTCTCAGAACATCTTCTGCTATTTTTGAAGCCCCACTCATCTCCCATTCTTCTCTTACAACATCAGTTGTTTTAAGTATTAACCTCTATCATATTGATCAGTATTGCTTCAGACGTGAGGAAGAGAGGAAACTCTAGAAATCTTGTCTTTTAGATAAATCTATTTTAAATCATATATAGCAGTACATTGATAAACACAAATTCAAGTTAGAAGAAGCAACAAATAGAGGGGAAAATGAGGAGCAATAGGGGGGCGTGGCTTGGACGTCGACGGAGATGGAAGCATAAGCTGATCGCTCCGCTCCACCAGTCCCTGTAAAGCCCTACTAAACGGCTTATTTTAGCTTCCATGGGACGCACCCGCAAAGGTGAACCTCCTAGGACCCCCAGGGGCCCCCAACTGAGCCAGTCGCAAGGTCCGATGGACGAATACCTGCATAACACTGCAGATACACGTGGCGAGGCCTCGGGATCCAAGATGGCGCCCACCTCCGCCGTACCTGGAGCTCCCTCTGCCTCAACCCTGGAAGGCATCGGAGAGGAACTCCGCACCATTGCGGCCTCCATGGCCACAAAAGCCGATCTCCTGGTGCTTACCACCACCATTCAGGATGCACTAAGGGCCGAAATTGCAGGCATCCGGACGGAGGTAACCGCACAGGGACACCGTATACAAGCTGTGGAACATTCACATGAGACCTACACAGCCAGGCTGGCATCCACTGACACAGCACTAGCCAGACAGGGTGACCTAATACTACAACTCCGCAGAACAGTCGAGGACCTCGACAATCGCGGACGCCGCTGCAACATAAGGGTGCGCGGCGTCCCAGAGACAGAAGGGGACGAAGATATCGAAAGCTCTCTAACGGCCATCTTCAGCCTAATACTACCTGGAGATGACCTGATGGAAATCCGATATGACAGGGCCCACAGGGCCTTAAGACCCCGCTCCGTAGAAGATGGCCCCCGAGATATTATCTGTTGTCTCCATTCATTCTCCGTAAAAAATGCCATTATGAAAGCTGCCAGAAACCGACCCACATGGGAATACCGAGGGGCGCAAATATCATTATTCAACGATTTGTCGCCGGTTACGCTGGAAGCCAGGAGGGCCCTGAGACCTGTTACCTCACTTCTTCGGGAACGCAACATCCCCTATAAATGGGGCTTCCCTTTTGCCCTGTCAGCTCGACATCAAAATGGATGGGTGTCACTACGTGGACCGAACGAGGTTCCAAGATTCCTAGAAGATTTGGGCCTCCCGCCCGTACAGGTGCACGACTGGATCCTGGGGCCTCTGGACGCAGGCCCGAGACCACAACGAGCACCCCGCCGACGGAGGGGGAGATCTCCACCAGAACCCCCTGGACGGAATATTCATGAGTAACGCCCGCAGCCCCGCAAGTATCAGCCCGCTAGACTACCTCTGCCCGGCCTAGCCTCGGGAGACTGCCCGGATGTCGCTAGAAGTTGACCCCTTTAGTCCTACTGACATTGCTACGCCATATTTGTGCTCCCCTCCTCTAATTTTACATTTGCTGACCCTGCTTCAAGTTACAATATAGGGGGATACCAGATAGCAACTTGGGTGGTGGGAACAAGGGGGGTAAGAAATGTGAACTCCAGCTGCAACTGGCCCTCCCTCCTACCTAAACCTATGGAGAAGCTAGCCCCTGTGGTCCACTCGCTGACACTCCTGGTTTTGGACTGCCTGTTATGTTGGGACACTGGACTTCTACCCTCCACCCTCCTCGATAAGTATCTTGCCTTAATATGCTACCGTGAGACTGTTGGTTGTGTACCATTTGCTGCCTATACTGGTGTCATGCAATGTGATTTGCGGGGTCAGGGCAATGTACTATGCTGGGAATCAGAGTCGGTAATGAAGCTAACGACAGGTTGGTGGGACAGCCTGGATGGGGTGGGGGGTAGCTATAGGCGACGGCGACAGGTAGGGACCCTCTTTCTGGTTTCTTAAAAAAAATATATATATATTGTTAAAAAAAAAAAAAAAAAATTCATTAAATTAGAAACCTACATTTTAGCCACAGATGACCCTCCTCTCTACCCCAACCCACAACGCAGCCAGCTAACGACAAAAAAAAAAAACACCACAGACTACCACTGCAGTCACAGACTGACCCGAGCAGTATACATAGCATAATGGTCCTGACGTATACCCACATGGAGCAAGACATAAAGGATTAAGGGGCGACAGCTCATACCCTTGGTTAGGCCCAGCTGGCATAACTTGGTCAGTTGGACTCTGATAGCTGGTGAAGGGTCACGATTGCCTTATGAGGCACATACCGGGGATGGGCACTGTGGCAGACGGGACGGCGGGGCACACATGGGAAGTTGGTGATATTCGCTATTGATGGTTATTTTCATCCATGTTTAGACTTTGCACACCTGATTTATTAGTTTGTTAGTTCACACTATGTTTACCTCTCTGCTAATACACACCTCCCATGTATATCCGCACTTGGGCCGGGACCTGGTTGGAGCGGGACAACTCCATACTTACAGTACATACAATATATAAACTGCATCTTTCCTGGTTTCGACTACGACCACTACCCTACACTTACACTTGTGTAGGATCCCCAGCGGAGCCACAGGTACGTTCACTCACCGATCAGGTTATCGGGGTGACACCAGGCCACTCCGCTGGGACACAAGTGACCCTCCTTTCGGGGAGATATCGGGGTCTCCACCTCTCCAAACTCCGAGAGGGACGACGCCCGAAGGGGTGACCCACGCGGTTCACCCTTATTTTTATTAAACAAAAAACCTTAATTACGAACTACAGCCACATTGCAGACCCCATACCCCTACCCCACTCACACACACACCACATAATACACACATACTTCCCCCCGAGGCTGCGTTGCACGTTTAAACGTCATACGTCTAACGAAAGACGATATCCAACCGACTACCTGACAGTAGCTGGCTCTGACGAGACCCTCACACATATCCCAAGCGGAGCTGCGCGACGTTCCCGTGGGGCCGCGCCTCATCGCGGGCCATCAATCCGCGGTTCTGTGCGCCCGATCACGAGAAGTCCCATGGCATACACTCGCACACCCCTGTCCATCATGACTCTCAACTGCAGAGGCTTGAACATCCCGGAACGCCGCTCGCATCTGTTGAGATCCCTGCACCGCAAACGCATATCCATAGCGATGCTCCAGGAGACTCATTTCAGAGCCGACGCAGCTCCCAAACTGCGAAACTCTCATTATCCAGTGAGTTACTGCAACGATCACCCGACCACCCGACGCGCGGGAGTGGCGATCCTGCTGGCCGCGGAGTTAGGCTTCCGGGAAATGGACAGATTGGCAGATACCCAAGGCCGCTTCCTCTTCCTGAAGGGACTGATTGCGGACAGGATCTACACTCTCGCGACCATATATGTTCCCAACTCAAAACAAGCACAGTTCTTACGTGGGGCACTGAACAAGCTCCGTGGATTCTCAGAAGGAGCCCTGATAGTGGGAGGAGACTTCAACGCTCCGTTGGATCCTCTGCTAGACTCCTCCACCGGTCACAGCTGCATCTCGCACACCCACATCCGATCTATCCGCAAAGCACTAGGTGAGCTATCCCTGGTAGACTGCTGGAGGACACTCCATCCCGCCGACAGGGACTATACACACTACTCGGCGCTGCACAATCGCTACTCCCGAATAGACTATGTCCTTATCAAACAAGCTGGACTGTCCCGCTTACGGTCGGCAACTGTCGAACCAGCCACGTGGTCGGATCACGGTCCGGTCCGGATTGAGTTGGAATCCCCACTGTTCAAGCCAGCCACCTGGTCATGGCGTCTTAATGAATCATTACTTCAAGATCCTACGGTAAAAGAAGAGATTTCCCAAGCGCTGACTTCATACTTCACGGAGAACGAGACGGAAGGGATGTCGTCTGTGTCGGTGTGGGAGGCACACAAGAGTGTCATACGTGGCATACTCATAGGTCTCGCAACTCGCAAGAGAAAGGAAGCGACCAGTGCAATGGCAGACGTATACGACACCATTAAACGCTTGGAACTCCAACACAAACGATCTCAGCTCACCGAGAAGTATGGTGAATTAATGGAAGCTAGGCGCACCCTGAACACTCTCCTCACGAAGCGATATCAACGCTCGCTCCAACGCTCGAAGAACTTTTTCTACGCACATGCGAATAAGGGCGGGAAATTCCTCGCCCGCTTACTGAAAGGCGACACACCACGAACTCAAGTACGAAAGTTGCGCTTAACCTCGGGCAGAGTGTCCCCATACCCAGAAGACATAGCAGACGAATTCAGGGCGTACTATGATTCCCTCTATAACCTCCGTCCACCAGGGAATCAGGCACCAGACGGGGAGGCACCACCTCATGTACAAACATACATCCAGGACACCGTGCGGGCACGAATAGATCCAAACGCCGCATCCTTCCTCGACGAACCACTTACCACGGAAGATCTCGCCGCTGCCCTGAAACACACTAAAAATGGACGCGCCCCAGGACCCGACGGATTCCCCTCGGGGTACTATAAACAATTCGCCACGGCGCTCTTACCGCGGCTGACAAGGGCGGTTAATGAAGTCTCGGAGGGCGGTCGTTTTGGCATCGAGTCCCTGACTGCGACCATAACTGTCCTGCCTAAGCCAGGGAAAGACCCAGAACAATGCTGTAACTATCGGCCAATCTCTCTGCTAAATGTGGATACTAAGTTGTTAACTAAGGTGTTAGCAACTAGACTCCAACGGATCCTCCCGAGCCTTATCCATGTGGACCAAACGGGGTTCATCCCAGGACGGGAAGCACGGGACAGCACCCTACGCCTATTCTCAATACAACACCACGCGCGGAAATACCGAAAACATCTATTGCTGTTGTCGACTGACGCAGAGAAAGCCTTTGATCGGGTCAACTGGGCATACATGTTTCAGACACTCCGATACATGGGCTTTGGACAACGGATTATGGCTTGGATCACCGCTCTATACAGCACACCGAGGGCAGCAGTGCGAGTTAATGGCGCACTCACCACGAGCTTTGGGATCACGAACGGGACCAGACAGGGGTGTCCCCTATCGCCACTCCTGTTTGCACTGTCACTGGAGCCACTCCTACAGGCAATACGGGACAACCGGAATGTCCACGGATACACTTGGCAAGACACTGAGCACAAGGTAGCCGCATACGCGGACGACCTCCTGTTCTTCATCTCCCAACCTCGGATCACTTTGCCCTGCATACTCTCAGAAATAGAACGGTTTGGCCGCATATCGGGGTTTCGACTCAACCTGGCAAAATGTGAGGCCCTGAATATCACCATACCCGCAGCAGAATATGAAGCCCTCGGCCCACTTTTTCCATTTCGCTGGTGCACAGAGGCATTGAAATACCTTGGCATCTGGTTCACCACAGACCCCCAGGGAATATACCACCGTAATTTCGAAACACTGCTGAAAAACATCGAAACAGACCTAACGAGATGGTCCTACCCCCACATCACTTGGCATGGCCGTATAGCAGTCTTAAAAATGAACGTTCTTCCTAGGATCCTGTATTTATTTCAGACTATACCAACAACCCTGCCGGCATTATTTTTCTCGACCTTGAAATCAGCGGTCATAAAATATGTCTGGAGGGGGGAACGATCCAGGCTACGCCATGACATCCTATGCTTACCAAGACACAGAGGGGGCCTAGCCCTACCAGATTTTAAAAAGTACCACCAGGCAACAGTCCTACAAAGGATCCTGGAATGGCACGAAACAGATACGAGTAAACAATGGGTAACTCTGGATCGGATGGGAGAGGCTGCAAAACTAAAGGCAGCGGTTTGGCTGAGGAGAACAACCAG